AAACTGCTAGCAAATGCAAATACTGCCGCAAAAGTACGAGTACTGATATAAAAGTATGTATTACGCTGCTACCATGTACTATATTCCGTCAGTCAAAGCAGGAGGCAGTCCGCTACTTACTTTTAGCATATAATCGAAATAGCGCTGGCCAAGGTCTGCTTTTTCTGCACCGTAGGCGGGCAGCTTGGCCGCAATCAGCAGTTGTTCCAAGTCTGCGCGGGGCAGCTTCTTGAGGTTGTCCACGTGCGCCGAGAAAGCCATAATACTCGTACACGCAACAAGCGACACGAGCGAAAAATAGCAAGTAAGCGGAAGCGTTAGATTGTTTCGTTTCATTTTGCAAAATATGGGTTATTGTTTTTGTTGCCTTTTTCTAATGTGGTACTGCAGTCCGCCGACCCTTCTAGTGATAAAGATTTCTCCAGAAACCCAATGACTAAGAAGTACTGGTACGTTTTGTACACGATAAAAGTGGAACTGGCCAGTGGGCTTGCAGGTAAAAAACTTTCATAAAATAAATTAAATACATTTACCAAAACTGTTATAGTAATATGTACATAAACGCGTACTTACGTATATTTAACTGCGTATCGGCTCATCACTGACTGTGATTTCTGATGCTGAAGCGCCTATGTGCGCAATACGCGTTAAACTGAAACATAAAAAGTACGAGACAAGCGGCAACTCTTTCCCATCGCTTTAGTAAATTACATCACTTTCCCTGCTGCATTTTACCCGTATGCAGGCGCTCACGTGATCCTCAATGCTATCGTGTTCGTTTTCATCAGAGCTTACCTGTGAGCCGCTGATAAAATCTCGGCTACCGTACTCTTCTCTGTAATCAGTCGCGTAATCAGCTATAGCCGCAAAGCGGTCTATAAGTGAAACGGCTGAAATCAAGAATCACGTGTGCGCCCACACACGGTGAAGATGCAGCAGGGAAAGTGATGTAATTTACTAAAGCGATGGGAAAGAGTTGCCGCTTGCCTCGTACACCTCTTTTTATTCCATTATTTTGTACTTCAAAATCGACCATCAGCCCGACACGATAGTATGTACATGCTGCACTGGAACGAGTACTTCATTTGAGTTGTCAACAATAGAAACCTCGGCAAACAAGGTCGGCAAAACATTTACGAAATGTCGGATAGAATGCCAGATAGAAGAAAAACGGTAAGATATCTAGAATGAAATTGCAGAAAACGAACGGCACGATGTACTCGGAACCGCCTCCTCGGCGCATTCCAAAGTAATACAAGGCGCGCGCGGCCGCTTGGCAGAACACACTGACCACTACAATCGCGGCTCCCGCCAGCACGTTCTTGGCCATGTCGCGCAGGGTGTCTTTCTTCTCGTCAGTATCATTGCGCAAAAGGTCACCTGGGCGAATCTTTCGATGCCGATAAATCTGCCACCTCATCCGCAATGCCACATAGGTTAATCTCACTTGGGGCAGTCCCATCACCAACAGCGCCCCGAAATACTCAATGTTGTAGAACACGATCCAGTGCGGATCCATGAAGGCCATGTAGGCGCCGCGATTGCACGGCACAATCAGAATTTCATGGCCCAACATAGTGAATAAGATGGTGTAGAAGATAAAAATGCTGCCGCACAGAATCACGTGACTGCTAATGATCACCGGTTTGGTGATGCGGCGCCGATAAAACAGCGGGTACTCCACCGATAGCCACCGGTCAATACTGATGATCATCAGGGTGGCGTTGACCCACGGACGTAGCATGTTCCCGCCCGCGAGGGTCACTCGTCCCGGCCAGGCGTATGGCACGGTAGGATCAATCAGCCGATAAATGGGGCCAAATATCCCGAAGAATCCCCGCAGAAGTTCCCCACCGGACAAGAAAATATGGTGGATGAGGAAGAGAGGTTTGTTGCGCCACATGGCAAAGACTAGCAGATTGATCACCGCGGCCAGGATGATGAGGATCATGGGGATCACCTGGGTGTAGAGTTGTACGCGAAATTCCCAGGATGAGTTCCAGGACCAACATTTTTCCCGGGTCAACAGGGAATTATTTCTTAAATTTGTCGAGTTGAAGGGATGCATGGTTATGGTAGTAGCCAGATACTGTAATAGCAAAAAATGTAAAAGCCAACGCCGGTAGCGGGTACAGTTTTCCTTCTCTGAGTGTCGCTGGGCGAGAGAAAGTAAGACACATTTCTGGAGCTTCCTTCTGCATGCGCATTACCGTGGAGTAAATTGGCTACTTGCGATCTCGAAAATACCTAAAAATTAAAGAGCGGCGAGACTAATTTCCGGGGGAACGCTAATGTAATTACTGGATCGAGGAAGCCCGGTAGTGGACCATCAACAGTGTCACGCAGCCAGCGCCAATCTAGACTGCCTACCAGGTGCTAGCCGCCATCTGTCTTCTCTGTATGCACCAATGGATTAGCAACCATGTCTGACGCGTCGATACCGTACGAGTGAAAGCGGCACCGCTGGACGACGATAGTGCATAATAATTAAGATTGTGCCCGTGTTGTGTGCAGCTAAAGCGGCATCATCCATGGCAAAGGGGTGCATTACAGTTTTTCATCGCCAGAACACCGCAGATCTTTCCTGAATTTTCTGCGCTGACTGCCAGCAGACGTTGGCGGATGATCCATCAGGAGCGGCTGAACTATTCTTCGCGCAGAGCGTGACTGCAGCGGCACGACCGGTTCGCAGCAGGTAACCCTTTGTGCCAGCACAAAACCCTATTGCATTCAAGTGAAATGCACAAAAATGCGCCATCCAGACTTTATTGCCAAAATAGCATAGGGGAATTCCTTATTACGATAGGGGAATTAAGGTTTTCTGACGAGGAACTGCGCGAAATCGTTCAGTTTCATGCCAGCGTTTAATGCCCTGGTATGTTTTTGTTGGTGCTGCGAGATCTTTCTACTGTATCTTTTTCTGGACGGCTTCTGCCTTCACTTAAGCGAATCAATTGCTGAGTTTTTATGTGGAAAGTGTTGCGTTTTTTTATACGTATTTATTTAAGCGGGGTTCCTTAACATCACTATTTGGGTAACTGTTTATGAGGTTAACTCGTAGGTGTTAAAAAGACAATAATACACAACCACTCAACATGTTTCACTGACATCTTAATATGTTCGACCAACCACGCTCGCTCGCTGTTTTTTCTTTATAGAAGCACTAGTTGGAGATTTGGTTGATACTTAAAGGATTCTCTTTTATGAGCTGAAATTTGTATGTAGTGTACCTACTGTAAAGTTACGATCCACACTCACAGTACATGCACTACAGTAGTGTATGTAACTGAATGAATAGGAAAGTCGAGAACCGTAGCTAGTAGAGAAGAGAAGATAGTTGCTTAAAGAAGGTAGAAAGTATGTAAAGAAAGGAAATCACGAGAACCAGAAGAACAGATTCTCTTTTATGAGCTGAAATTCTGACTGTTTCGATGTCGATATTCGTGTTTCTTGCGAAAGACTCTCAAAGGGTACAAATTTGAGGCACAGCATTCCTTATAAAAAACAGTATTTTTCTCTCGCTTTGAAGATAACATGTACGCAGTACCAGACGTACCACCTAGGCTTCCTACCAAGTCTGCCATTTGGTAAGCAGTACAAAAAGTTCTGTAATGCACACTGTTGACGGTAATACTCAGTGTTGACGGCGTCGGCTTTTTTAAATTTGTTTTCCGAATGGTCGATCTGTCAAAATGTTAAAAGTGTTTTGTCGCTTTCGTACCGACCAGACGTCTATCTCAAGTCTCGTTATGCGGGTTGTCTGCTCTTGACGTAATAATAATACTAATAACAAATTAATTAGAGCTGTGAATCGTATTATCTCGTCGACGAACGCCATCCCTCCGGATCACACCTTCCGATCATCCGGCGTCTAACTATGGCAATTAGCGCGGTATCACGGACCATCTAAATTACTATGTAGTTTCCGCGTAACCGTAACGTCAACATTCGATACAGTGCTGGTGTTATTTGCAGCAACTCCAGTGCGCGGTCGGCACTCTACATGCATGTAGAACAAAAACAACTATAAGTAGAACCCGATGTAGAGTCTAAATTTGCGCCGGTTGCGTGACCCTGTTTACTAGTCCTTCTCCATAAAATAATTACACTACCGTTCCCTGGTACTTGTTGCGCCGCTTCAAAATGTTCCATTATTACCGAGATTGTCCGCGAGGCGAAGCACCCGATTTAGAGTGCGTTATTAGAGGTTACGTGTTTGATGTCTGTCTGTTGGGGATGCAAATACGCAGCACCAGGGGATGCAAATAAAATCACCGCTATGACGATACTTCGTTTCATTTTGTTATTTAGTTACCTCTGTCAAGGTTCCCAGTTATACCTAAACCCTTAGGCGAGATACTACAGGTAAACTGTCATCATAATTATTGTAGCCGCGCGAAGACTGCACCTGCACCACTTTTCGATCCGGGCGCTGCCTGCCTCTAGAACGTGCTGCAGCGTGTGCGATGATTTCCGTATACTGTACGAGACTCTGTGGTGCAAACTTATCGCGCGGCTACAGTATACTAAGGTCTAATACCCAAGTTCTTAGTGTCGAGAATTTTCCGTTTATTCCAATCTGCAGCATAACACCTGCTTCTATAATCTCTTCGTGCCTCCGCATGACCAGACGCAGATGACCTTTAACTGGGATTGAATATCAATTTACCGGCATTATTCAGATGTATCCACCCGCCTCGGTGTCAGTGTAGATTGCTCCGCCACCGGACATCTTTCTTAATTGACATGCGGAAGCTGTAATTTTATCGGGCTAATGCTGTCTCGGTTAAACGATATCGCCGAACTTTCTTGAATTCCTGTGCGTCCGCGGGGGTCGTCAACTTGTGACAGCACAGGATCAATAGCTTCAGTCTCCCATATTATATTTACGGTCAACTTCTCAGAGACGCCATAAACGTGAGTCAAGCTGCAGCAGCCAACGTCTGCCGCTACATTGTACCGCACTTTCGAAGCCAAGTGCACTCGTCGTGGGTATCACGATGAACGCTACTTGTTATAATATCACGGCGAACGCTTCCGTGGCCGCTGTCCCGTCGAGTGCCGACTGGAATTTCTCGGCGATCTCCCGCTTGGTCTGGTTCATTCTGCTACTGGTTCTCAATGATTCCATGCTACTATTTCTTGTCCTCCACAAAACACTGCGCACCGGATTCAACGTGTATCTCATTGGGCTTTTGTCTACGAATGTGTTCTACGGTGTTTTGCAATATCCATCAGAAATTCTGGAGGCGCTGTACATGCACTGGTGGATGTCCAGAGGCGCCTGTAGCTTGTCCCTGTACAATCTCTGGGTGTTGGATAGTGTGACCAAGCACATGCACGTTCTCATCACCGTCAATCGCCTGTGGGCGTTGACCTTTCCCTTGTCATACCGCAATCAGCACAACACTAAAGTGGCGTGTCTGCTGACCGTCGGCATGGTAGCGTATGTGCATATCATATGCTTTCCCATTTTTCTTATCGACGAACTGTACTATCGACAGGCACCGGAACAGTTTGGCTGCTATTTAAAGCAGCCGGTGTATGCAGTTACATCTAACATGGTAGCGTATAATTTGCCTGTGATAATAGTGCTATTTTCTTATCCCTACATTCTGTACAAATTTCTTCGCCGGCGGCGGACGAGGACTGCAGCTAGAGTGCCTATAGCGCCGATGCCCGTTGACGGAGCCAGTGACCAAGCTAACTTGAACCAGGCACTTACTGTACAAGCCTGCCCGGAAATATAGCAAGTACAGCTATAGCTGGTGCATACTGTGCTATGACGTGTGTAGTTAAATGATGGTCACTATGTACGTTACAACAATGAAGAATTTAATATTTGATACCTCCAATATACTTTACAGTTTTTTATTGTTTTTATAATTAATATATTGTAATTTATTTAGTTCTCCTAATATTCATTTTTAAACCCATATTTGGCATGTACTAGCCATGCCTAATTCAAATAACGAGTACGCAGTGAAGCGTGGCGCGCCGCAGTATGGAGTCTGGCGTAAGTGGTTTTGATGCGCGCTAAACATCCGGACATCCGGCTTGTACGTTGACTGTCAGCCTGAACGCAGCTTTGCCATTGTAGACTTCGCATATTATGCGAACGCAGCGTAGTTACAAAGGTGATGTACGATAGCTGTTATTATACAGATAGCAAGAGCAACAAGCGCTACCAGCCAAAAAAACGACGGCACCGTTCGCCCGTTCCTGATCCTATCACTGCTGACGTGCAGTATAGCGATATGCTGGGCGCCTGCTCAACTATACTGGACACTGGACGGTTTTATGGATGCCAGTTTCATGGATCAATTTTATGGTTTAATCCAGCTGAAGAGATTTACCATGGTTGTGTATCCGCTGCAGGCTATTCTGGATCCCATTGTGTTTGCGCTGTCATTAAGCAATCTTCGCTCTGCCATTCGAAAGTTGTGGAATACAAGTGCCGCTTTAAGGGGACGTGCTCGTGTGATTCCTTTATGATGCTCAAATATTGCTGCAAAGCATTTGCGCAGACGGGTTTTTCTTGGCCTGCTGGTTTCTTGAGGATGCTGTACGATGACGGTTTCACAAGAAGCATATGGAGCGTTTCTCTATACTTGTTCGATCTTTAATTTATCAAAAACTGGTAATGAACCACCGGAAAATTAAAAACTGATATAAAAAGTACATAATATATCTCCTTCGCATTGGTACAAGCTTCATTGACAGCTGCTGTGTCGAGAAAACTTTAAGAAATTTACTAAAAAAACTCAGGAATACTAAGAAGCTAAAAAAAGAGACCTTGTTCAACTAACGTAAGTAAAAAATAAAAACCACAAGGAACGCCATGATACAAAGAAAACTCGAAAAACTAAGAGTAATAAGTAAACCAGCAAATTGAAATTCAGTAAGGTTGCCAGGTTTGAAGATTTTTTTTACTGACGCAAAATTTTCCATGCACAACTGTATTGTTTAAGCGTGGGAGTGCAGAAAATGTTTCTGCCGAAAAGGGTCAACTATTCGCTTTTGGCGAATCATACTAACTTAATACGGGAAAGCGCGGCGAAATCGTTCGCGGTAAATTATCGCACGACCCGAACAGTCCCATGGGTCAAGACCGATCGTCCGGGACCCGCGACCCGTCTTGCGGCACTGTGACTGAATTGTCGCGGGTACGCCTGGTTGAAGTACAGTTTGTGTGGATAGTCATACTGTGATGTGGTCTGCAACGGAAGGAAGTGGCCAAAAAGTATTAGCCAGATAAGTGTATTTTGATCTATCATACAACAGTCAATAAATGTAATCTCATGGTGTGTCTGTGAGTGCTTCTGAGTTGAAGGCGTGTTTTCTCATCCTTCATATATGTGGTTTGGAAATCACTGGTGAGTGCTTAAGGGAGAAGAACTCTTGTGAATGAATTAACGCAATCTTGCTTGGCCAGCTAGTGCTCTGAGATGTCTGGGTTTGGGACAGTGTTTTTTGGAATATCTTCCCAGCTCTGAAGTTGTTACAGTAATAACTCCTTTGAGCTTTACATAAAGGTCATCCATCGTCAGCAGAACAATTGGGTTAGCGTCATATCTGAGTTAGCTATTTAGCAAAGGTCATTCATGACCTTAAACCATCAGTAGCTTAACGCTATCTGGCAGAATCAAAAAATGCCTCAAAATAGCATGTCTTAAATCGAAATGACATAGCGTCCGTATGCGGTTATGCCCCGAGGCGTAAGGTCGTAACTGGAAATAAAGCTGGATAAGACAATAATGCCACGAGAGGAAGGTCTTTCACCCCTTCGAAATAACAGACAAATAGGGAGGTGGGCGAACGCTCCCACCTCCAGGGTCTCCCATATAAAACGAAGAGTTTATTACCTGAAAGAGAAAAACAGAAATACCAGAAAAAGAAATAAACTGAGCATTTCCATAGAATGCAGGAAATCCACACCTGCAGCCATATACGTATTAAGCAGACGGCGTGACACACTGACGGTAACAACAAAATCGAATTGCATGATGCGTTTGCAACACTGATAGCATCGGACTACCGGGATGGACGCAAGCCAAGAAGCGCGTCTGTTACTAAGATTTTCCCGGAACGTCAGCCGGCTGACGTTAAACAGGATGAATAACAAGAAAGCTGTGCCGGAATTAAGCGGTGATCTGGGATCGCCGAATCCTGCCACGATAATTCAGTGATGTTCCGCCTAACGCACCTTTACACTGTCAAGAAACCACAGAATTGTCTGAATTTCATTCCAGCAAATATGTACTACCTTTATAAAAAGAGAAGGGTGTGAGCACTTTATATTCTCTGGAACGAAATTATTTTATTCCCCGCTACTTGCAGGAAACGGTAAGTGCTTGCTAACATTCAACGGCAATGCGAAAAACGCACGGGGACCATGAAAAAACCGTTATCTAGCGCTTAAAATGCGAAAGTTAGCAGTATAGTACCAAACGTGTGCCACTGTACATCCGAATCGGCCGTTTTGAACTGGAAGCCAAATTAAAGGCTCCATGCAGGTTCAACTTCGAAACTGGCAAAGTGGACTCGTACGGTGGTTGTACGGTTCAAAACAGGTGTTTTCCAAGGCGATACAATGAGTTGCGCTTTGTTGTTGGTTGTTTTTAACGCAGTTTTGGAAGTACTGAATGAAAATAAAAAAATTATAATATTGCTTTTGCTTCGCAGACGAATGAGAAAATCCCGGATTTAGCTTTTCCAGACGACCTTTCGTTAATTACTAATAATACAACTGATATGAGCCGACTGCTGCGTGAAATGAAGAGCCGTATGACTTCGATGAGTTTAAGCTGCAGCCTGCTAAATGTCGGTGTTTTTTGCTTTCCAAAAGCGTTTTCGCAGCAACTGACTTTTCAAAATTCCTTGGGTCGCCGACGCCGACAGGATTTCTTTCAGTTCCTGACGTGATGCCGTGGCATCTAGCCGTATAACTATGCGGCTTATCCTGACTGTGAATGGTTGCAAACTGCTTCCATCCAGTATCCAGTTGCGGTTACGATGGATTCAAGACGGGTAAAACTACAGCCACTGTCAGGTTGGTTGTATGCTCTGACCAGGAGCGCCGTTTGTTATTGGTAGTGCTACATGTATTCCATAAATCCCTAATATATATGAGAAAACCTGGGGTGTCCTTAATTAATAGCTTTTATTCATAAAAAGGGATAAAGGGGAGAAAATAGATAAAATTGTTAAAAATGGACAAATCAAGATCAGAACCCTGATATCCCTGTAGAACGACAAACAAGGTTGACAAAACATTTACGGAATGTCGGGTAGAATGCCATATAAAAGAAAAACGGCAAGAAGTCCTTGACAAAATTGCAGAGAAAATACGGCACTGTGTACTCGGCGCCGCCTCCACGGCGCAGTCCGAAATAATACAGCGCTCTGGCGGCCGCCTGACAGAACACACTGGCCACCACAATCGTGGTTCCCGCTAAAACATTCTTGACAATGTTCTGCAGCGTCTCTTTCTTGTCGTCTTGTGAAAGGTCACCCGGACGAATCTTTCGATGTCGATAAATCTGCCATTTCATCCGCAATGCTACATAAGTCAGTCGGACCTGCGGCAGGCCCATCACCAGCAGCGCCCCGAAGAACTCAATGTTGTAGAAAATGATCCAGTGGGGATCCATCCAGGCCATGAAGGCACCCCGATTGCACGGCACAATAAGGATCTGATTGCCCAGGATACTGAAGACGATGGTGTAGAAGAGAAAGATGCTGCCGCAGAGGATCACGTGACTGCTGATAATCACTGGTTTGGTGACGCGGCGTCGGTAGAACAACGGATACTCCACCGATAACCAACGGTCGATACTGATGATCATCAGGGTCCCGTTGACCCAGGGACTGAGCATGACCCCACCCCCAAGGGACACCTGTCCCGGCCAGGAGTAGGGCACTGTGGGATCGATCAGGCGATAGATTGGCCCGATTGTCCCGGTGAAACCACGCAAAAGTTCCCCGCCGGACAAGAAAATATGATGGATGAGGAAGAGCGGTTTATTGCGCCACATGGCGAAAACGTGCAGGTTGATCAGAGCGGCCAGGACAATGAGGATCGTGGGGATCACCTGGGTGAAGAGCTGAGCCCGGAATTCCCAGGATGTGCTCCAGGCCCAACATTTTTCTCGCACCAATAGGGAGATATTCCGTAAATTTGTAGCATTGAAGGGATACATTGATATCGTGAGTGATATAGAAAACAAGTAATTTCGTTTCAGTGCCTACGTAGAAAAAGCTCCTTTAGATTTTATGCCAGAAATCTTGCGAGGTGTAATGTAATACTAAAATTAATTGAGGAAGTATCGCCTTAGCGGTGATGTTATTTTCCTCCCCTGTTGTTGCCTGAATAGAGACAAAAATAAAACAGGTACCTTCTAATAATGCAATCCAAATCGGATACTCTGCCTCACGGGCAATCCCGGTAATGATGGAGCGCTAAGGAGCGGCCCAACAAATTCCCAGGAGACGGCAGTGTAATTAGTGGTGGAGGACCGATTGCCAACTAACACATAGTCACGCAACCGGCACAGATTTAGACTGCACACCAGGTTCTTGCTATGATCGTGCTTTGTTCTTTATGCATGTACCGTAGATTACCATCGCATCCTTTTAGCTGAAATAACTCCAGGAGTGCCTACGGTTTCGGGAAATCACTTAGAAATTAAGCTGGTCCGCGTTACTGATTGCCATAGTTATACCTAGACACCGGTTGATCGGAAGCTTTCATCGGACTCGGACGCCGGGATGATTTTCATCGACGAAACACGAGACACAGTTATAATCATTACCCAATGGCAGGATGTTTGGATACTGCGTCCGATACGGCGAACTGGTTAACTTCAGACTGAGAGATAAATTATTATTTTCTCTCAGCATGCATAGCCTTTTCCGCTTTCGCGAAACGGAAGCAAATGTTCTGCGCCCAGTTTGTGGCATACCTGCATTAGGTAAGTGAGTGAAATTTTAGAGAAATACTCAGTTTCCGGCACATAGTATTAAGTGATGCTTAAACGCAACCAAGTAAAAAATTATTTTGTGTTCACACTTCACAGTAAATTTCAAAATGGATAAAGAACATACCGGCACGCTTAAATGCCGAATCAGTGAGACATACAGTACGTACCGCCCAGTTGCAAATTGTGTACAATTAGTACAGAACAATTTGTACAATGAGTACAATTAGTACCGTTGCAAATTGTGTACAATTAGTACGTTAGTACTGTATTTTCACAAGTTTAAGGAACATGGTGGGGGCGTGGCCAGCGTAGCCGGACCGTCGGTCGGCTTTGATCTCAAAGGGGCCGACAACTCGTGTGCGGCCCGGCCCCTGGAGCGTTCCTTAAACTTGTGAAAATACAGTACAAATCCCTGCATAACTGAATTCTTTAAGGTCCGCTCTTTCGGGAACTCTCGTACACTTAATTTACAGATTTTGTCTTGTGCTGTTCATTTTTTCTAGTGCTACAGAAATGTTAATTACATAAGAACATTCTAGAAACATTTGGCGAATATATCGGGAGTTCCGGCACCAGACAAGATCCAGTCTGTAATACAACTGGGAGGACATGCAAACAGAAATATACAACCAAGGAAAAGTTGTCAGTGATTCTGGAAAAGGTGTTTATGATGTTTATGATCTAATTTCTTATGGTGGCGCGATGGCACGCTCACGATAACAGAAGAGTGAAATACAAATGTGGAATTCATTATTGAAGAGTGCACGGAGCTAAATAAGGCGTATTCACGAACATTTACACACATACATTAAAAATTACTTGAACGTCTATGTGATTAATGACCGTTACAGTATCTTCCAGATTAGCGACTTGTCTGTAGCTCAGATATGATGCTAGGGGCGGTGATGTAGTGCAGCGGCATTCAAAAATAAAACATCTGCTGTGCAGAATATATGAATACATCCATAGAAGTTTGCACACTGCACACATTATACTTTATTATTATTATTACGGCTAAAGAGCAGACAATCCCAAGGGGACTTCAAGTGTGGTCGAACGTACTTCAAGTTTGCACGATTTGATTTCCGGTGCGTGAGCGATGGAAGCCTTCTCGTGGCTTCCATTTCTTTTGATTTTTTTTACAGATTACGCGTGATTGTCTTGGTGAAACAAGCTGCTTTCTGCACGTTGACCCAAACGGCCTGCATCATAGGGTTTGCCTCGCTTAATTCGTATCGTATCACGAGGAGTACAAGCGAAGAGCGCAACTGGATTTCCCCGCCAAAGATAGCCAATAACCGCCAGCCGCTTTCCCCGATGCACATAGGTACTTTTGTGAAATGGCGGAAGCCTGCTGTTCCGGTAATATGTGGTGCTGACGTCATCGTCGCCAATGGCTTTGTGTTGGCCGTATTTTCTTCACGATCCGCAGCCGTCCCGCATGATACCGGTTCCCTCCGGGTCAAGGATGTCGAGACGGACGAGAAAGATCCCGTCCGACTGCGCAGTATGGAACGCCGTGGGGATAGACGGAAACGGTTAATTGCACGCATTTCGTCAGGTAAATTGGTACTGGCGTTTAAGCAGTACGCCATGCAGAATTCGCGGCGCACTTGTGGTTTTATGGTGACGTCCGGTTTATAGTACCAGAGTGATGTAAACCTACGATACATATTGGTAAATTTAAATGTATTTTTGGTATTTAGTCTGTTTACGAAACATTCAAGAATAAGTCTGGTCCGATACGAACTCTATAAAAAAGTGCGTAGACAAACCGCTACAAGCAAGGTCGTTTGCATAAATGCATAAATAAGTGCCGCTGTGCTTAAATGTACAAATGCGCAAACGTAAATGTGCGGATGCACAAGCGTAGATTAATAAATGTATGAACGCTTTAACGCAGAAATGTATGAGCGCATGAACTGAATAAATGCGTGTAAATATGCAAAAACCGTAAAGGCATGAATGCATAAATGTACAATTCAAAATGCGTACAGGCACACATGCGAAAAGCGCAAACGAATGAATAAATGCCTATGTACATGGAAAGATGCAATATACTTCCAGTTGTCCATAAGTAAGCAGGTGTATAAATCATTAAATTCACAATGCGTAAATAAAAAATATACGAGAAACACAAATTCATTAGCGCTTAAATGAGACCAGATGTTTGTAGTACATAACAATTTGCAATTACTTACTGAACGTCGCCGCTAATACATAAAGTTTAAAACTTATTAAAGCGGCAAATTATTCAATAATCATTTTGCCGCGAACTAGTTTCTTACAAATACGATAAATTCTAAATAACAGAAATATGACTCATTGCACGACTGCAGCACCAAATTCTGCACTTACCACTCCGACGAATCGTTTGTTTCCCGCAACCCGTCCATACTGGCTCCGCATGTACAGTACCTACAACTTCGACCACGATAGTAATGGGAACTCCAGATAAATTTTCGCTGAAACGACTTCCTTGACGATGCTCAGGAAAAGCGTAATCCAACAGAAATTCTTTCCGCAGAACCGTTAAAACGTTTTCTATAGAAGTATTTCACTCCCTAGAATTATACAAGTCGTAATAAATCTGAATGCCTTGTTACCCTGTACTGACTGGTTCGCCGTATTTTTTCTGCTATGAACGTAAACCACCGAAAAGAAAGAGAGGTCACTAAGTCTTATGAGACTGGCATGTCCTCTCACTAGGGTAGATCTCTTACTGGATTTTCGAACTATGGTACTAGTAAAAGTCCGTGCACATGCAGAATAAACCGGTATTGTGTACCGCCGTCTGCATGTTGCATAGAAATATAGTATACGACTACATAAATCAATAGATCAGCCACGCTCTACCGCATGAATTGGGGAAGCAGGTATTTATGCAAGTACGCAGTTTCTGGCTTTCTGTACTTGAGAATTATGAGCACAAGGTCTTTTATGCAAATGCAGTAAACTAGGTGAAGCTTTCTCTCTCTATTTATGCCGCGTGTTTATGCAACTACGCACTTGTGCAATTACGAGTATTTATGGAAGACATAATACACATTTATCTGCGGACTGCATGTACACATGTATTTATGAATTTATGCAGCCATCGTATGAGTCTGCTTATGCCCAATTAATTGAACAGTACTTCTTTATGGTAATCACAAAATTATTCGTGTCTATAAATTAAACATTTATTTATGCAGTTCGTGATGGCCTTACAAGGGCGTAAAAACAACCAGGCTTTCCGAACAAAGACTTATACAGTAAATCATAGAAAACTGATATTAATATGAAGTCGTTAACTTGTAAATCGGCTTTACCATTGAAATTCTGATCAGTTGATATCGAATGCAACAAAAAATATTTTACGTATGTTAAAATAACCGTATCCTAGGAGCGGCGATACAAATCGGCGCCAAAATTGTAATTTACTGCGGTGGCCGAACAAACGTTTACCCGGATAAAAAGAATTTTTTTCGGAATTGTCGGCAGAAAAGCGTCTAATAAATTTATTTACAATATGATTACAGAATCTGATAGCCAAATCGTTATCACTGTACTATGTTGAGCAACTCATGTGTGGACCTGTTCGGGAAGTATGCGGAAGAAGCGAGCCTCAGCTGGTCTTATCTTCTGTTTGCCAATATTAAAAGCCATCATAAAAGCGTAATTTTACCCGGAGCCGACTGTTCCGGTAGATTTTATGGACTTCATGGTAAGTCTTACCGACCAATGCAGAACCCAACAGCGCAACACAAATCGTCTTTTTGATAGAATACATGTATTGTTGTAACGCGGAAACCAAAGAAGAGATCTCATAATTTAGCGTCACCAATTAGCGCTTATTACGTTGCGACTAAATCATGGTAGATGTTCTGGGTTTAGCGGCCGTTATCGTTTTTTATCTGCTCATCCTGGGAGTGGGCATATGGGCGGGCCGGAAGAATAAATCGCCCAGCGGACAAACGTCCAGTAACAGTGAGGATGTTATGTTAGCCGGGCGGAGTATCGGCATGTTCGTCGGCGTATTCACCATGATCGGTAACAGTGGAATTTATGCACAAACTCCAGCGATTATGCGAAAATTTTGTTGCAGCCACCTGGGTGGGCGGCGGTCTTATTAACGGGACAGCGGAGATTGTATTTCGTGGCGGTGAAGGCGGTGGGCTGGTGTGGTGTCAAGGACCGTTCGGATACGCCATTTCACTCTTAATCGGTATTTTATATACATATAAGCGCATGACCTTTTCGGCAGACCACATACATAAGAATATTTTAAAATTTTGCCACGGGATTCCGTAAGTTATACTTATAGGGGGAAAAAGCAGTTCAGCCGAACCAATTCACGGCACTGCTGCCGTCACCCGGCTGGAGCGTGACGTTACGACAATACATATGGTTAAATCAGGCGCGGTACATAAGCGCCATGTTTAGCCACAACGTAAAACTCCAGCCGGCTGACGGCAGCAGTACAGGGAGTCGGTTCGGGTGGAATAATTTTGCCCCCTATATTGATGTATGCAGTTTGTGATTCAGTACATTATGTATATTTGAGATAATCAGCCGGGAAGTTCTTCATTAAGCCGATGCGAGCCGAGGGCTACGTGACCATGCTGGATCCCTTCCAGCTGAAATTCGGTCGACGGATGGGCGCGCTGCTGTTCCTTCCGGCGTTGTTGGGTGATATTTTCTGGTCAGCGGCTATTCTTTCCGCTTTAGGTACAATATATGTTCGTTAATTAGCGATAATCCTTCTACGTAATGTGACACGGTTAATTTCGCCTTGGAAGATTTCGAATTATGGTGAACCGTGACCATTGTTGCACATTAATTATCGTAGATTATTGATCCTAAATATTCCATCCGTCTAAAACAAATTCTGGCAACAAAACTATGTGGATATGTAATTATTACAACAGCATTAAACAAGTGAAGTATAGCAATGCATACACGTGGCCGTGCTACTAAAAAATTAATAACCTGCCGTAAATTTTAATATAATTTCATATCACAAGGTCAACAACCGGTGAAAGGATAGGATTTAACGGCTGTTGATTCAGGCTCAACATTAACGGTTATTGTCGGCCTGAACGATATCCTGTCTATCGTGCTGTCGGCCTGCATCGCCATCGTATACACCATGTTCGGCGGTCTGTACAGTGTGGCCTACACCGACGTCATCCAGCTCATCTGTATCTTTGTTGGTCTGGTACGTTCCTTGTCGTAACGCTTTCAGCACGGTACCTTATGCAATCCACAACGCTTTTAATTGTAATTGCAGTGGATCTGTGTGCCCTTTGCGTTGACCCATGAAAAGGTCATCCCCATCAGCTCCAGCAAGGCGCAGTGGCTGGGGACGCTGACCGGCCGGTATGCCGGCGTGTATATCGACACGTACATGGTGCTGCTGTTGGGCGGTATTCCTTGGCAGGTTGAGTACTGATGTAACTAAATAAGGAAAATTAGTGATAAACAGATAAGTAGCGGATAATATTAAGCAGGTAAATAATTAACTGGTTAAATCAATAATAATAAGGTAATAATGAGCTTTAGTCTTGTGCAGACGGGCTTGGCAAATTCCCTGTACGACACTTGCGCGGCTGATATTTCAGAGTCAGATTTAGAGATTTTACATAGGCGTAGGTAGTGGTACAAGCCTTTTGCGCTCCTACTGCGTTTTCTGGAGCCATTTTACCTGCTCACTTCATACCAAGATGTAGGAAATTAATTTCTCTACAATTTGGTATTCAAAGTGTCCAAGAAAGGCTGAGGCAAGCGTTTCAGGGAGAGCTTACCAAAACAATCCAAATCCCAAATCTCCTATTATATGGGCACCACCCTCGTTTGGCAGTACGATGCAGTAGAGCAAAACAAGACTATTTCCTTCAAACGCATTTTAAAATCGTTCCATAAGGTTAGACTTGACTCATTATATATCAGAATGTAGAGAAATTAATTCTCTACGTTCTGCTCTTTGTCTGACAGTCATAAACTCTTCGCAACGCGGTATAGCAAACGCAAAATTAACTCCGGCATTGAAGCCCATGCAATTAATGACCCTGAAATATTCTGTGCACATGTGCACTGCAGTGCCCGCATGCACAAGTCTGAACTTCATTATTAACGAAATTAATGGATAGCTGCAAGTAACTGATCAGTTCACCTGCTTAAATAGTAAGCAATTAATGAATTAATTATACACTATTTATTCTAGCAATCCGCCCGTGTGGTAGTAAATTTGCCGGTGCATCTGCTTAAAATCCGCAACGCGTATATCATTTTTCACACGATGCATACTCGTATACAAAGTTGTTGAAATGTTTTTCCAGGAATTTTTCCAGCGGGTGTTGGCAGCCAAAACCACACGCAACGCCCAGATGCTGAGCTACGTGGGCACGGTGGGGTGTGCCGTGATGGCCATACCGTCCATTCTCATTGGCGCAGTGGCCCGTTCCGCCGGTACAGATTTAAGCACTTTCCTGGTATAAATACAGTTCCACGCAAAAGTTTCTGTAGCATTCTTCCAAACATTTTCCAAAATATTATGTCACAGTATTTAAGCACTGACGTACCGACCACACCTACTGTACGCTTTAATTTATAATATTTAAAAAAAATAAATCATCTTCCTCAATTCAAATTTCGCTAATTTAAAGCGTTTCTGATGCTTATCTGACTCACGAATGTTCTCAAAACGGCAACCAGCCACCGTTCTACGATCTGTTCCTCAGTTAAACAGAGATCCAGAACGGTACATTTTGCCGGATCGTGCCATTTTGCCTTTACAAGCCTGTCGCGAGAAATTGAGTATATAATAAAGTTACAAGTAGAGCAAAATAAGCGATTAGACTTATTGCCACTGCACTCTCGTATATTGGCGCAATTGGCAAATTTGCGCTGTATTTACTTATACTCAGTTTGTCGACAGGTTGTATACATACAGAAAATTAATTATAAATCAATTTTGCCCTTTCATTCAACGATAAGTTGTATGATCCATGTGTTTCTTACTCCAGACTGGACCAATACGACGATCGGCCACAGCCCCGGCACCAACGGCTCCGACCACGAATTCCGCATGGTCCTCCCCTTAGTTCTGCAGAACTTCACGCCCACCGCCGTGGCCTTCATCGGGCTGGGCGCCGTCTCGGCCGCCGTGATGTCGTCGGCCGATTCGGCCATTCTAGCGGCCGGTACGCTGTTTGCGCGCAATATCTACAAATTCCTAATCAGAGAAAAGGTCAGCATAAATCGCTTTTTTAATTAATTTTCCGTTGAAGGTCAGCGTTAATTATACAGGCTACTGAACGGGAAATCCTCATCGTCATGAAGTTGACCGTGGTGGCGGTGGGCGCGATGGCCACCGGTCTGGCCATCTGTATCCGCTCGGTGTACGGGCTGTGGTTCCTCTGCTCGGATCTGGTCTATGTCATCCTCTTCCCGCAGTTGGTGCTGGTGTTGTACTACCGGAATGCCAACACGTACGGATCGCTGGCTGGTTATGTCATCGGTAAATTTTTACCCCATTAATCTGCCTATTCATAATCATTTGATATGTAATTGTTTATGGGTAATTAACATAGTTTACTAGCTAAGCGGATTTTATTTAGTGGCTAGCGTTTTGTATTATGTTATCTAAGAAATGAAATGTTATCATGTTATCTAAAACATTTAATCACGATTTATAGCACTGTGACTTAACATGTGACCAGTATCAAAATATGCCAGCTGTGTAATTAGGTGAGTCACCTTCCCACAGAGCCGAAGTTCTAAGATTTGTCCTGTCTGCAATGAGCCCCTGTTTCACTGGTAATTAAAATTCAGAACTAATTAAAAAGTGTGTAAGAGGAGAATCCTCTTTACACACAGCAGCCGCCCATCCGCCGCCTACCTGGTTGGCTCAAGCTCAAGCACAAATATCTTGATCTTCGCCAACAGCGGCGATGGCACAGTGGCTGTGCTACGTGGATCTCACTCGGTAGCCAGCGGTTCGATTCCGCTCCATCGCCATTTTTCGGAATTTCCTCAACAGACAGGATCTTCATCTGACCGCCCTCCCTCGCTGAGATCATCACGGACAGCCGACTTATGGCTGCCTCTGTTATAAGTGCTACGTCAGAAAAAAGCTTATTTCAAAAAGGAGCTGCTGCATCCATTCTCGATAATATTTCAGGGATCAGAAAAACTTAATGAAGCTTGGTTGTCATAAAAATGTATTTTAACTGAGTATGGATGTCGTAAACGAGGCTCATAAAATATGAAAACAAATATTATAGTTTTCGGAGAAAACGAAGTTTAAATATGACAATCAGCTGATAACCTTTATCAAAATGTTAATACACTGTAGGCTTTATTACTTATTGTATCTCCTATTCCATATCCTCGTCTTTAACCCTAAGTAATCAATCATTTTTCAGCTTAATTTTTTAGCTACTTTGTATAATATAGCTTTTACATAGTCTTTTTTAGCTATATAGCTTTTATACATAGTAAGTCCGTGACCTTCTGTATAAGAATCCACTTATTATAGGCATGCTGCTGCGGCTGCTGGGCGGTGAACCAATCATCGGTCTACCTCCCATAATTCCCTATTTCAACCTCCTGGACAACGACGACACACAGCTCTTCCCGTTCCGCACCTTCGCGATGCTGGTCAGCCTCGCGACCATCGTCGCGACGAGCGAACTGACCCGCCACCTTTTTATCACCAAAGAACTACTGGACTTGAGATGGGACGTGTTTCACTGTTTCCATAAAGACGACGACCCGCCCGTCAAGGTGGCCACCATCCACTTCCGGAAACCGGAAGTCCCGTTGCCCGTCAACGGGGAGTCCATGTTTACTAAAAAACGCCGACGCCCATCGCTGTCGAAACGCGGCAGTGATGCCGGGGAGAATTTCAGTGAGAAGGGCGTGGCGGGAGTGTATAATGCAGCTTTTGACGTATCAGAAACGACTTTGTAATTTTAATCCTTCCAACACCGGGGAACGCAATGGCTGTACAGCATTTGTTGCACAGCCACTTTTTCAGTTTTTTCTCTACGAATTTACAAATGTCTCCGGTTCAGAAATTACATTTTCTCCAAGTTTCTCTCTAATCTTTACAAATGCGTATTTTCATAATATTTCTAACGACCTTGAATTGTGTAAATAAAAAATAACAAATGCCAGAAACTTTGTTGCGCTGACGTGTTTCTGATTTTTAACATACGTACACATTTTGACTTTTTTCCGATTATATACAATTTAGATTTCCAAAAAACTGCCTGGTTATTATAAAACGAACTTTGAATCCTAGCAAAAATTTATAGAACCAAAGAATGCCAATTAATTTTATTTGGTGCACAAAAAAGTATTTTGTATCATGTTTTCATTTTTATCTAGGAATTTGCAAAATTTTCGGATTATAAAAATTATTTTGCCAAATAACCTGTTTGATCTTTATAAAACGCACAGTTTGTATTTTATCGAGCTTAAAATTCCTAACCCAAAAAAGTAATAAAAAATGCCGGTAAAAAATTGAGTTTATTATTTTCGATTAATCCCATATTTTTTTCTTCCAACAGAAATCACACCCGTGTAAACTAATACAAAAGCAGCAAAAAAATAATTAAAAAAATCAATCACAACATAAACAGTATCCCCCGATATCACTGTGGTGTACGGTGTACCCACGCTGCTAACCCGTGCAGAAAATCCCATGAGATCGTCGCAATTCAGAGGCCAAACCAAAACACATCAACAAAAAAATGCAAATTCCACACACTCAACGAAAAAATTAAAAAATTTGTCCTACTCAAAGTGATCGTAATATTTCTTCGGATCCGTCAAGCGGAAGGTGACCAGGTAGATGATGAGCGGTGCCAGGACGCTGGGGGCGATTTTCAGAATATCCACGACGGAGTCCTTGTAATAAATGGCCAACACACCGAATCCCAATAAAATCCAGTGCGCCACAACGACGATGACGCTGTGGATGGAGGAGAAGAGGCCCTTGAGGATCTCCCATAATGTCTATACGGAAAAATTGGAAAATGCAAATTTTACTTGTCAAAATTTCTGGATTTAAATTATTTAATAAAATCCACATGTCGACTATTGAATAAGTGCAAGAGTAAATTATTTACTATATTTATTTGTTAATCGCAATTAAAAATAAATTCAGCCGTTTAGTTTCGCCAGTTTAAACTGGCTATACGAAACAAAAAAATCCAATCTTTTTAAAAAGCCAAGTTTATTTATACGACAGCATAAATTTTTCAGCATTTCAGCAGTGCTTTCCCTAAATAACGGTCGAATACAGGCAAATCCCGGCGTACCAACTGTTAATTCAAAAGTGCATACATTCTGGTTTTTTAATTTACTCCACTGCAGCCATGAATAAAAAAAGGAATTTTTAGTTAGTTGATCGCAGAAAAAAATCATTTTTAACTAGCGTTTAGTATCCTCTATAACCCTAGTCAATTACACATAACCATTGAAAACACACACAGCCACTGCACTACGATCTTGCCTTACTCCTATAGATTTCACACATCCATAGAAGTAAAAATCAGCTTGCTGGTGTTTTAACTCCATTATTTTGCCGCAGAAAATGCTAATAAAATATTCAATATGCAAAAAATGCAAAAACAATCATTTCTACAATAATAATTCATTTATTATATCTAAAAATTTATAAGACATTTATTTTATACAGTATACACCGCTGCTGAAACGCCGACGATTTCCTGCAGGCGGATTTCTTTCTAATCCGATTTATCATTGTACGACGTACCTGCTTTTTGATGAGGGAGCAGTGCATGGCCGATGTCACGGACGCCGCGATGATCGTCACGTAGGGAAAAATGAAATCTGCACAACAACATTCCACAACCAGAGGTCAATAAGCAATAAACACTTCAGAAATTACGATGTTAAATTAATAAAATGTAACCCACACCTATAATCAATACTTATAATTCACACGTTTAAGAATCATGTAAACATTTATAAATTTAAAAAATTATTTACAGATACTTTAACAAATCAGCAACAATTTACGCATTGATTAACTGCAGTAAATATATATATTTACATTATAAACAGCGTAATAATCATATGTTAACGTAGTTGCTAAATATACAAATTTATATTAAATACGAAATATTATGCTACATAATTAACCATAAATTAATTGTAATGAACACTAACCAGCACTACTGAAATTTCTTTTTATTTTTCTAATAATAATTATCATTATTACGCTAAAATTTACTGTTATTCCAATTAATACTATTACTAATAATCATTATTAATTAAAGTAGTCAATGTACATAATTCACGCGTACACAAAATTACGTACATAGCAGTCCAGCGCAGCCGGCGTGGACCGCCAACAGAACCGGATACTGGTATAATCCCCCTAACAGGGCGTTCCGCGCCATGCCGTTCCATGACCATTTGGCCGATACACCGCGACATATCAGCATCAGCAGCAGAGAGAGAAAATAGTACACAAACACCACGGAATATCTGCAACAAACCGCCCACGGTCAGCGGACGCGATTTCTTTAAGACATTGTCAATTTCAGGCAAAGGAAACATCAGTTTAATCCACCCACGATCAAATTCCTTACATTCTACACATTTACAGGCGTTTTGCGTAAAATAAATCAAGCCGTAAAATTAGCGGTGTAAGTGTACTCTAGAAACCACCAAAAATTGTTGTGCAAATTCTCAACAAAATTCTGAAAATTCCATTTGTACATGGAAGATTTGAACAGAAAGCCGCCCGGCATACGCCACCGTACTACGATACACCGACAACAACATACGACGTGAAAATGGTTAATTTTGCTTCCACAACGTCAAGCGTTACGAATTACGAACTGTCTGTTCGTTAACGTGCAATTTACAGTCCAAACTGAAGACCAAAAACAAAAAATATTGCGACGGCTATAATTCATAAGAAAATTTACTGAGGGCTTCAGAATAAAATTTTAAAAAAATCTTGTTAACATAAAATAAATTACTGTAACCAAATAGAATACAATATCATAACAGAAAAAATGATTATTCTATTAAGACCTCATATAAATAATGCATTAACTGTGTAGAAATGACCGTAAATACGTACAAGGGATAGACGACCTCCTGTGAGCAGTTGAGGGTGTGGATATAATCCGGTTTGGGATTGTGGAAGACGCTGTACCAGTCCGCCAGCCGGTCCGCGCCGCAAAATCGCATCTGTCACCGTAACACACATGATGGCCAAATAATTATATAAATATTGTACGAAGAATGCTGCCAACGTAAAACAGCTGCTCAAATCGAACCACCGCCAATACGAATCAAAAAGACACCGGTAAGAATAAAAAACACAAGCAGGGAAATTCATATCAATCGATTTTCGTCAGGTTGTAGATACTGTCAAGTAATTTGTTTTAATTGGAACCTTGTTTCTTTTCTTTACTTTACTTCGTCATAAAATAAATTTTCACTATATGACGAATGTATATGCATAAAGACATCCTTTACAAAGAAATCAACCAGTGTTTGTTACAAGAATGCTAATATTGTAATAATTAACTTTTTATTTGCACATTATACGTTGTAAACTATAATTAAGCATTAAAGAATTAATTAAGAACTTCACAAGGAAGAAAACCAGTAGACTTAACGGGATTATTATAAAACCTATAATAAAATTTAAATTAATCAAACCAGAATTACTAGGACATGATTATTATTATTTTTATTATTATTATTATTATCGTACTACAGTAGCCAAACTCCATTACGGAGACTTATTACCCTCAGGTGAAAACCGTTGGGCAAACCAGGCTATTGGAAAATTTTTTTTTGTTTATTTTGAAAATTTTATACTTTTTTTGGTTTGATTTTATGAGATAAAAGTTACTGAGATAAAAGATGAGATAAAAGTTATGAGATAAAAGTTTTATGAGATAATTAAACAACAGGCATGAGCGCCATGGTTGGCAACAGTTGGCACTGTGTACGCACCCGAAACTGATCATCCTTCCGGAAAAACGCCATAGTTATCACCGCTGATGCGGCGGCCTCCAGCAGCGCCGACAGCTGCAGTATCACATAGCTCTTCCTACCAAAAGAATTGTTATTTTAAAAAATTCCGGTTTATGAGAAACATAAATGGCAATGTAATAGTCATGGATTGAATAAGCTAAAAATCATTTCAATTAAATTATCCCGATTAATATCAGTTTAGTCTGCATGACAAGGGCAACCAAAGGTCGAAAACTGTGCCACTTCACTACGCTTCCCGGACGCTGTTCTACATCGGCCAAACATTAGGGGATGTCTAAAAAAACATTACACCGGGCGAATAAAAATCGCTATATTGAAGTAGCGAAACTTTCCGCCACTGACTGATGAATCACAATGTGTATTATCGTGAAATAAATTTCCTAACATGAATCATTTTTAAATTATGCAGTAGGGGGGGTGGGGGGGAATTTTATTTTTTTTTATTGCAAAAATAAATGAATTTTATTTTTGCAATAAACATCCCTTTGGTCTGGTTGTGACTGTGCGTTTACCTTCGCCATTTGCGGAAGATCATATCGATGACGGTGAGGTGGAAGATGAGGGGCAGGGCGGCCATAAAGGCCAGATACATCCAGGCGTAGGGGGTCAGGAAGTCCTGGCAGGGCTCACACAGGGAATTCTTCTGGCTGGCGCGGGTACCGCGCGGACAAGCCTATCGACACACGGACATCACCATATACAACGTTCAAAGACCCTAGCACCATAGTTAACCAGAGGATCCCAGCAGTAATTCCCCGCGTTTGCAAATTCTGTTACATATCTCTGTCGACAGGCCAACCGCCCCACGTTCCAGAAGACAGTCGCCTTGTCGACATTGCAACCGCACGCGTCAACGGTGCTGCCAGTCTGAACGGAGAAATTTGGTTGCAGATCCAGCAACCCCCCACCCCCTTCCCAGTACCTACCATGCACTCGGAGAGGAGATTGTCGGGGGTAGCTATTCTCCCGCAGTATCCTGGACACAAGGTCAGTGTGCCGAGATACTGCAGCTGGACGAATTTCCTCTCCACGGTCGACGTCAGGTTGTGGTGGTTCATTGTGGGGTGTAGTGGATCCATCGTCTGATCATGGAGAGCGTGGTTGATGTCTGGCCGACTGACTGCTCGCTTAACCCGAAGCGATGGATGTCGACAGATGATCGTACAAAACACGGAGGATTAGTCACTCCGTGTGCGCCATCATTGGACACGCGATTATGATGAATTTGGTGTGCAAAGAGGGAATTGACGGTGGAGCTCGTAGATGGGGATCGATGCAGGCAGTGTATATGGGCAGGATCTGCTATCAGCTTGTCATTCAAACAAGGAGGATTATTCCGGAAAAAATAATGGAGAACTTTGGAGTGGTACTATAGATGATTTTTAAAATGTTCTTTAGTGTACATTCTAAAACGAATGAATGGAAAAACAATAATACATGTGGAGCAAAGAAGGAAAAGTGGAAAACAGTAAACTGGAAAATCGAAATGCAAGAAAGTCGTATTGGCGATCTGTTCTTCCGCCATCGGAGGGTAGTCAAAGGGTTCGAATCCGTTTCCGCCCGCTTTGTCACGATTTCATCGTCAGTTGACTTTCTGTTGACTTCCGCCCCACTTCCTGCCATATTGTCACTCACCACTTTCTAATTCTAAGCAGATTCATTACCACCTACCAGAGTACAGATACGATTCGGAAATTAACTAGGTACATTTAATTTGATTTAAAAATAATTTGTATAGCAAGTAGTACTCGTAAAACAGAGTAGCGCAATTAAACTAATCATGCGATAACGTTACTTACTTTTACTCTGCCAGCGTACCCGGCCTTGTGACTTTTCACTTTATCATAATTACACAATTACTATTATTATATTAATTAATATTATACAGCATTATTGTACAGTTCTTGGTACGTGCTGTGCTGTAGTAACAACACAGCGCTATACTTCTGTACTAACTTATTACACCAATGTACAGCCCAAGAGCTAAAGACGTACGTATAAAAGGTAAAATTGTACGAGTAAAATGGCGCACGTCAAGTACTTATTGTGTTGTAGCCGAGTCGTGTCTCTATTCCCTGTATGCGCTTTGCATGGATCTTGTTTCCGGACGGGCTTGTACGTTGAACAGTTTGTGTTTGTCACAAGTATGTGACAATATTAATTTAATGTACAGTACACTGTAACAGGCAAGCGCGAGGAGATCACGAGTGTGCTTTATTGACAAATAAAGGGAACAATGCTGCGTAATAGCAGGGAAAGCAAAACAAAGCACTGATGGCTAAGCAAGCAAGTGAATGCTAGAAAAGCTCTTGAGCGTTCGTCAAGGCGTGAAAGAAGCAACTGGCGGCAAGCACGTGCTGTGTGCCATCAGCTGTGTGATGATGCGCAGACTGGACTCAATCCAACGCGAGCGTACGCTGAGTCATACAGCGAGAGAGGGACGAGAGAGCAAGTATGCTCAGTGTGTGCGCCGCATATATCCGCTTCAGCGGATATGAGTGCAGTGCAGCAGCACACGTACGTACAGCGAGAGAGGCGATATGGCAAGCATGAGTGCAGTACGTCCATGGTGGGCCGTATGCACCAGGCGCAGTCATGTGCCTCTGACATGCCTCTGGGCGGGAATCCGAGCTCCTGCGAAGGATGCTCCGACTCAGTACCGCACCAGTACCGCACAACTCTCCAGTCGGACCCAATGTGGGGTCGCTGGTACGCGTCCTCTGGCAGTGGGAGTCCGGTGTCTGGTCGACCGTCCCTTCTTCACTTCCGAACCCATGAGTGGAAACCACTCACGGCCGAAAAATCCGGAAGCCGCTCGGGCGTTTCGTTGGACCGGTGTTGCTTCTGTTGGCTGGCTTCTTGCTTCTGTTGGCAACGGAGAACAATGTGAAAGAAAAGTGTAATGAAAGTTGTATACAGCGCGAAAGAAAGTATGAAATAAAGTTTAATCACAATTCCAGTGAGCAAAGGGGTTACAAAACAGATCTGTCAAAGAGATCGAACTAGAAAAAATACAATTCCGTTTGTTAGGAAAAATGCTAATAATAAAAAAAATTGCAAAAATCTGTCCGGGGGTCCTATTCCGACTAGGATGACGTCCACGGGGCAGTTGAGTCTCCACGGGGTCTCCTGTCCACTTTCATCCGGTAAGTTGGGTCTGGGGCATCGGTTCCCGGGTTACCCGTCGTAACCGGTTACATTCACCGAGGTCGGATAAGCACGGTTAAACACTTACTTCCGACTCGTATCCGTCCGTTCGGGATAGAGAGGCACTGTTGCAATTGCAAATACCGAGGCATCCTCTCTGAATGGGGAATAGGACCGAGGTCGGTTTGACCAAGGTCGGCCTACCGGTAAGTCGACCGGCGGCTGGGGAAATTCGGCTATGTTCCGAATTCTTAAAGTCCAGGTCGGAAAAGGCTGTATGTAAGTCATGCGGCCTGTGTGGTCGTCATGTACAGCAGTTCCGTTCAAAAGTGGTCGGTTACAACCGTTCAATCTGCTACCACGAGCCTGGTTTGTAGTAATCCGAGTCGAACTGGCTCGAAGGTCCGGTCGGAATTCATGAGTTTCATCGATGGAAGTGTCCAATCGACTTCCATCCAATCTGTTCCGTTGTTATCCGACCTTCTGTCGAGGTCGGTTATCCTATCCGTCAGTGGTCGACTAGGGTTAACCTGCAATAACATGCCCATGTGGGGCTAAACAAGTTCCTTCAAGTCGAATTCGTCCACCGCAGATATCTGTCGTTCTTCTTCCGTCATGTTGACTAAGTTGCCGACTTCCGACATGTGGTCGGTTATAGTCGACTTCGGAAGGTCGGATTTTTCCGTTAGGAGGTCGGTTCTCGACTTCTGGATGTCTTTGCCGACTTGTTGTCGTACCCTACCGACTTGTGTACGGTCACTTCCGACCTCGGCTTGAGGTCGGATATCCATGTCCGAGTTCGGAGGTCGGCTATTTTCCGACTTCCCAAGGTCGGATAAACTTTGTGTCTATCCGCCGGGAATGTAAGTTCTTCCACTGAGAGGTCGATTTCGTACTTCTGGTTGGTTTTCCGAGCTGTTGTCGCTTACTTCCGACCTCCATCTGGTGGTTGTTGACTTCACTTTAGGAGTTCTGTGCGTTCGGCTACAGTTGGCCGGGTCCGTAGTGTCAGGACATCCTTCGGTCAGTTCGGACTGGCAGAGGGATGTTCGGCAGCACAACTCCGTTCCTTCTGTGATCTCTGACGTGAACTCCAGGTCGGATCCGAGCTACTGTTGAGGTCGGTCAATCCGAATTGCTTGCTTCTGGGTCGCCCAGTCCTGCGAGGTAAGGTTTTCTTCCGGCATCTGTTGGCCGATTGACTGGCGTTTCATCACGCACTGCGCTCGCTCACAACGCTAAGGGTCTTTGTGGCCCCGGTTGCCGAGCCGAGCTCTTTGGTTTAAACTTCATGCACATGCAAGTCCCTGAGGTCGTCAGATCCGATTTTCCATTCTGTTTTGTCGCGAACCTGTGACGCCTAGCCGCTTCTGTTGGGGGTAGACGACTCATGTCCGCGGGGAAATCTTTCTTTGCCGCTGACAAGGGCAATGCTGCCACTAGTGTTGCGGCCGCATTGTCCTTGTCAACGGAGCTCGTTCAGGGGTGCAGATCTCGTATTCTAACGCGGTCCGCCTAGGATGTTCCATTTGAGACATGGGGAAGCACGGTCTCGTCGGCGGCGAGTCGTTGGTACGCCGTAGCCAAATCACCGTCGCTGTTCCTCTTCAGGGAATGGCAGCACGTTCGAAGACGCGCGTAGTCGTGGTCACCGGTGAATCGGCTGGTTTACCCGATGTCGTCCGGGGGAGACTGCGGTTGATCTCCAGGTACAGAGTCTGTAGGTCTGGATTCAAACGGAGAATCCAGTTAAGTTACCACGTTGCTACTGCCAGCTTCCGTCCATGGTCGACTTCTTGTTGGTCGGCTACATGCTCCAGTCGATCTGTGATCGTCATTTGAAGGTAGCGAGTCGTGGTTCTAACGATCTGCGTCGTTACAGGTCGAACAGTTTTCAAAACCGATCTTTGTGATCGGCACCGACCTTTGTGGTCGACTTGCGCAGCAGTATCCGTTATGTCTCCAGGTTATGGGCAAGTACGAAGTCGACCTTTGTGGTCGGCTCCGTACCTAGTCAAATCCGAGTCTTCCTGCACTGTTGGCGGCTCGGCCGAGGATTTCCGCTTTTTACAATGGTGAAGGCTGCTCGGCTACCCGGTTCCGAAGTTGGCCACGGGTGCTTGGCAAACATGGCGTGAAACGCGCGCAGTCACGTGTTTCGCGCCATGTTAGCGTAATCCTCTCGGTTTCTTCTCCGGAGTCGGTTGGCCGGAGTATCTATCTCCACGTAACGCGGGTTGGGGCTTCTGTTGGCTCCGATGGTCGCAGAACGTGGTTGACGATCTGCTTTGTTAGCAGATGTGGTTACGATCTGTCTTTGCCAAGCTGGTGAACTGGGGTCGATTGCCCAGTTCGTTCCAGGGGATTCCTTGGGGGACGTACCGGTACGGTGAAAGAGCCGAAATACCCGGGTCTAACCACGCGTTTCCGGGTCCGACCAAAGAATCCGGCCGACTTGTGCAGTCGGCTTTTCTGGCAAAATCGTCGTTGACGTCCGCCGCGTACATGGTTGGTCATTTTCCAAGAAAAGAACTGAAGTATAGTGTCCATTCCGAAGTCGGTTCTCGACGGCGCTGTTTCTCAGCTAGACTGTTTCTCAGTCGAAAGGTCGGTTCTCGGCCGTGCCGTTTCTCGGCAATGCCTCCTTAAAGTTATTCCAATGGGGGATCGAGTTCCAATGTGGGAACTCGATCTTAACTGAGTGGGACTTCGACGGGTTTGTCGCCGCCGAAGTAATCTTCTTCTTCATCATCGTCCGGGCCAGGTCGGTTATGTGGCCGTATGTTTGGGTCCCTAGGTTTACAAGTCGCCGGGCCGCTCCGTTGAGACATCTCGTCGGTCTCATCTGTTTCCTGGCCTGGGCGCTCCGCTCTGCTCTTCCTCGATTCCTTGGCCGCTTGTTTGCGGAGCCGCAGCGCGAACGGTCGTGCGCCGGGTGCTATGTCATCCGACATCCAAGGTTCGTAAGGCGACGAGTTGAATCCGCTAGGCAAAGTTTTCTTTCGCGGTACCAGCTGATGAATCGGGTTGCATCGTCGCTGGGATCTACGTGATCCTCACGAAAGGCATACTTTGTCGCATACCGTTCGTGGGTGTACAGCAAGTCACGCATCCAGACAGCTAGGATAACACTTCTCATTGGTGTGCCGAGTTGGGCTACGAGGGTTTCCACAGCTGCTGGTATCGCTTCATTGTGGTACAGTCCGTACAGGGTGTAATGGCAAAAGTAATTGCCGAGTCGAGCTGCGAAGATGAATCGCAGGAATGCCGTGGCTCCGTCTTGGGCCGTGTCGACTTCTCCTTCCGGAAGATACTGGGTTAAATCCAGTGCTGCCCGAGCCGCGGTGATTACAAAGGCTGGGTGTGCGTCCGTGATGACGAACTGGGCAACACTCTCCAACTCGTCATGGGAGTATTCACGAGCTCCTAGTTGGCTCGCACGTGTTCCGTCCGGGCTGTACAATGGTACGTTCAGCAAGACCGGGTCGGTCATCGACGGCAACGCATTCGATCTAGTGTACGGGTGTTCAACATTCGGCGCTGTGTGCGCGTTCATGTTGAAGTCGGACCGCCACTGATGTTGTTCGAACAGCGCCTGGTATCCGGATCGGACGAGGAATTGACGAAGGTTTCTACCATCCGCCAGATTTGTGGTCGGTTCCGTTCCTCGTAAT